GATAAGCTATTAATTCTTAAATTTAAATGATTCCCACAGCTTAGTTGTCGTAGTTATTAATCTAAATTGGAAAACATTGAGATATAGAAATCTGACGAATACAGGAAAATAGTATATCAACCTTCCTTATTAACATCATAAGATGTCAAACAGACGTATACAGCCAACATAATATTTGGTTGCCTCTTTTAATTTTTGTAAGAAATATATCCGTGATACGTGGAAAATTAACGCACTGGACCCATTTGACCTAAACCTTAGAACTATGGGTTCATAACACACATACACACGGTGGTAATAAAATCATTAATCAGGATAATCTTTCACCCCTGTCAATTCAATTTTACATACAAATTGTATGATGACGGAAGATTTTAAAACATCATAAAAACTAAAATTTAATTATGAATACAACATTATTAGATTACTGGGGCTGTCTAGCTAGAAATGTGTGACATATTTAAGTATCATCAACAGCTGTCTATAGTTGATTTTCCTTTCTGCCATATGCTTTAGCAGAATATTGTAAATATGACTTTTCTGTCGGTTTTCAAGAACTAACTCTTTGCTTATCACTATGGTTACGGAGTCAATCCTTTCGACAAACTTATAGACGAGTCTTATAAAATAACTCGGAGTAAGCTTATTTTTATCAATATGGTTACGGAGTCAATACTTTCGACAAACTTGTAGACGAGTCTTATAAAATGGCTCGGAGTAAGCTTATTTTTACGAGGTAGTTTTGTAAGATATCAAACAGGCTTATGTGACCAATATGGTTAATGTATGCTTCTTTATAATTACACAGGTTAAAAGTTCTGTCCTTCTTATTGTAATACAATTAAAGAATCGTGATTTGTAAGCGAAATGGTGTTTTAAATTGACCCCTTCTAATATAGCTTTGTGATGCTAATTTCTCTTATTTTCCAATTATAAAAACAGGCGAGGTAAGCCATATTAGCGTTTCCAAGAAAAACTTGTCTGTATTCTTGGAACCTAGAGAAGAAAACAAGGGAAGTTGTGATTCAAGCAAGTAAAAAATGGCTACTCCACGACAAGCTACCAGTCGCACACTGAAGGTAGTGAAGAAAGATAAAATTTTTGTTATCTGGAGTATTCCAAGAAAACGGGACTCCATTGTACTTAACATAGGAATCTCCCTTCGAATTTTAAACAAAACAATTCTTTTTATCACTATGGTTACGGAGTCTAAGCTTACTCCGAGCTATTTTATAAGACTCGTCTACAAGTTTGTCGAAAGGATTGACTCCGTAACCATAGTGATACGTATCAGGCCAGGTCCCTTCGTACTGTATCTCCACTCCAACATCTTTAATAGTCTTAAGAATAGTGCTTGCTACTTCTCGAAATCCACGGTCTGGTGTTGTTGAGTAGAGGAAGGCGACCTTCTTCCAATTGAAGTTCAGAAGGAGAGAAGCTACAGATTTGGAGATCTGTGTGTCCGGAGGTCTAGTCCTTGCAAATGTTGGAAACAACAGTTTGTTAGATGTTTCATGATGAGCACAGAACTAGAAGAAAACAAAATAAAAACAGTTATCAGCATTTTCAGTTCGTGCTAAGATCAGAAGTATTATTTGGTGTTCGACAGCATTTTTCTTGGGCACAAATCGCTATCCGATTATTATTAGTTTGACCGGTTAATGCGAATACATATAGGCAAAAAAAAAAAAGGATCCCCCAGTAAGTCAGTTCTAAGTTTACAGACTTGCAACGCAAAAATCTGGTGTTCAAATCCCCGTGCATAGCTTATTGTGTAGCCTTATGCTACATTAAACACGAAAAAAAGCAAAATATTTTTACGAAAATCAAAAATTCAGCCATAAGGTGCCCCCCCCTCCCCGATGGGACAGCGGTAAGCCTACGAACTTGCAACGCTAAAATTCGGGAATCGATATCCCGCGGTGAACATGTAGCAAATAGCCTAAAGTGGCTTTGCTCTCATACAAACAAAAGCAATATTCCAAAATGTTAATTTTCAGCGAACTCGTATTTAGAAACCCTTTTTAAACTAAGTGACTAAAGCGAAGTTTGTAAAACAAATTAAAAAGAAAAAGAAATTAAACACATTGAAATAACTTTAAAATCATCATTTTGAAATTCACAATCAGATAGTTCTAAAGCTTTCAAAACGGACTGTGTCTCTGTTTAATTAAATTGTTTGTCGTACTTTTTTGTTTTTGTTTTTAAGTTAAGCACAAAGCTACACAATGGGCTATCTGTGCTATGCCCACCACGAATATCGAAATCCGGTTTCTAGCGTTGTAAGTCCGCAGACATACCACTGTGGCCTGGCGGGCAATATTTTTTACCAGCCACAGGGATTCATGTCTATTTCATGTGTCTTACAAGTATTTGTTCTCACATTTCAAGACTTGCATTAAATGACTTGTATGTTATTGTATAACATCAAGATGCACAATGAGACAAAAATCATATATAAGATAAACAGATAAATCATATTCAAGTTTCTCTCTTCGTTCTTTACTTAAAAAAACTCAGAAACTCAGTGGGATGGACTTAGCATGGAAGTTTATCTTGACTACTGTAATAATACTTTTCATATGCTAAGGAGACCGGATGACATTAATTTTCGGTGTCCCCAGGAGAAAACTGTCCTGAATCCATGGGAAAATAATCTTATTTATTGTTATTCTAGTTTCGTATGAAAGATTCAACTTATAACTTACCTTTTGACTGTCATAGTGTTATTTCAACTGAAACTAAATACTTATCACCATTATTATTTATTGGCTTATTTATGTAAATTTTCCGAACATTCGTTTCACGAGGCCTGGCATAGCCTGGTGGTTAGGGTGCTCATTATTTCATTAACGGTGATACATTAAAGCATTCACTCATTATGATATGTTAATGAATTTCCTTAGTCCGATGGGCCTGACATACTAATAGTTGGGGCGCTCGGTTCGCAATCGCGGATTCGAATCCCCATAACACCAAACATGCTCGTCCTTTCAGCCGTGGGGGCGTTATAATGTGACGGTCATTCCCACTATTTACTGGTAAAATAGAAGCCCGAGAGTTGGCGGTGGGTGGTGTTGACTATCTGCCTTCACTCTAAATTAGGCACAATTAGCCCTCAAGTAGGTTTGAGCGAAATTCAACAACAAACAAACAAGCTTCACAAAAACTGAAATTAATCTCAAAGCCGTATGATATTGGAATATTTTTCGAAGTCCCCTAATATATGGGGTTTTTGTTTAAACTTGAACTCTCCCTTATGTCTCTAAGTTTCAATATATTTAAACTCTTAATAATCGGACACGTAAGGTACCATAGTCTCCCACATAAATCCTTCATACTTATATATTCATTGTGAAATTAAATAACATCTAATTGGTTTAAACTGTAAAGCAAAATATATCTAAGAATTATAAAATATTGTACAAATACACAGGAATCTCTTGTATGGAAGTTAAGTTTTCCAATGTGGCCTGATTATTAAAATTAGAATTTACATTTACCTAGTTTTGTTTTAAAGTCAGAAGACATTTACTGAATAGTATTGAATAAACTATGATTATGTATATATGTATGTGTATGTATATATCTATGTATATGTATATGTCTGTATGTATATATCTATGTGTATGTATATGTATATATGTATATATCTATGTGTATGTATATGTCTGTATGTATATATCTATGTGTCTGTATGTATATATCTATG